TGTAGCTATTTATAAATGTACAATAATATTTGTCGCATTTTAGGCGACAAAACATCGTTGCTATTTATATATGTACTTCCTACATATATTTTTTGTGTTAAATTTAAAGATGTAATACAAAATTTCTGTATTATAATCCAAATTTAATTATTAATTCTTATATCATGCAATCATCTTATATCATCTCAATGTAGCAATTAAAAATTTTTTATATTATAATATCTTTCTATATTGTAATATTTTCGAAAACTACGGAAAATATAGAAAAACTAAATATTTAAAAATTCAATAGAAGATTTGTAAAAAAATGTTACATTTACCCAATGCCACTGATTTGTTGTAATACTTTTAAAGGCAATGTATAATGTAAAAAGAGCTAAATGTATTCAAATTCAATATAAAAAATATTGTTATATTTATGTAATGCCGCAGATAATTTGTTGTTTAGCATTACTACATATTATTATGTCGTACCTCATTATCCATATCAGTAAAGTGACCGCGTTTCAATTCACTAGGCTCGTAAATCTCGAAGATACTCTTCCTCGTGGTCTTTTTCTTCAACTGCTTCTTCGGTCGCCGTGGCCGTTCAGTATCGATATCTTCATCCATGTATTCATCCTCTTCTTCTTCTTCTTCTTCCTCATAATCCTCTTCGCCATATTTACCGAATTCATCATAATCAAAATCAACACCAAAAATGTCCTGTGCTTCTTGTAATGCCCTATAGATAAGAAAAAGATATTCTTTTTTATCTAAATGACGTAAATTTAACTTATGCTAATAGATAGATAGATGTTGATATAAATAAGACATTTTAAAAAGTCATTAAATATCACAACGTACGCATCAGAAAATATTGGCTTCTTTTTCTTTCTTTTCTCTGCGATAGGTCTACCATCATCGTCAACAATAAAATCATCCGCATCAGTATATTCGCCTTCGTCACTACCTTCCTCAAAGGTATCTGCCTCTGGTCTATGACTTCGTTCACTTCGTCTTTCATCCTCCTAAGAGCAATACAAAGAAATAAATAAAAATACTACTTTTGTATATCGCAGACCTTACACAAGCATTACATACCGTAATAACATCCCTTTCCTAATATAAGTATGCATGTGTATTTAACAAATACAAATGTGACACATATACATAGACACGCATTTGATTTGTAGAATTTATGTACATAAAATAAAAATTCAACAAGAACCAAAGTACAGATTACATAAACGAATATTGCAGACAATATGTTATGTAAATTTTTTAATATTTTCCCAAAATTAACACTCTGTGTCGAATTTAATATATTTATGTAACTTACATCTCCGGAACCTTCAAACAATTCATTAGCAATAGCGTCCCTTTCTTCATCTGCTTCTTTTTCTTGTTCTTCCTCTGATTCCTCATCTTGGATTCTTCGAAGACGTTTAAAACGTTTCTGTAATGCAAAGTAAAATATTTAATACTGTTTAATAAACATTCTCTCTATTTTTTTTTTAAGAATAATCCAAGATGTATAGAAGCATACTCTTTCAAGCTTAACGCCTAAATTTTCTTCAATCAGATCGTAATCTTCATCTTCCAAGCGATCATCAAAATCTTCATCATCACTTTTCTTACGCTTCTTATGATGATCAGAACCATCACTGTCTTCACCTTCGCTTTCCTCTATAGGATTGTCGTCTATCAAATCTTTCAGTTCCTCGCGCAACTGATCCTCATCATCTATAAAATATATCATATCAATGTTGCACACCATATGTATACATATATATGTACATAAATAAATCACAATTTCTCAAAAATTAATATAAATTAAATATGATGTATTAGAAGTAAATCTCAATTAACTAAGTATACATATAAAAAGAATAAAATAGAAATAGAAAAAGAATAATAGTCCATGTATTTACTGATCAAAATGTTTAAATTACACACTATATATACAGATACACACATAAGTAAATAACAATTTAAAAAATTAATATTAGATATAATGTATTAGAAGCTAATCTAATTAATTGGGTACACATATAAAAAGAATAATAGCAGTGTTCATTGGTCCTCATTATCTATAAAATATATGTATACAGTATGTTAATGTTGCACACCATGCGTATAGATTAGTGTTACTTTCCCAGGAAAAAACTTGGTATTGGGAAAAAACCGTTTTTGTAACAGTATTCCATTTTTTTTGCTCTGATCTGTTTTTAAAAGCTTGCATTTAATATAACGCATAATATAAACACTTCTATTTAAAAGACATATTCAATTACAGAATATCACTTAAAGCTACATTTTTTTTAACACTTTTAAAGTTAACTATGAAAAACAAAATACATTAAGCATTTAAAAACAATTAAAAAAAGATATAAGCTTAAAATAACAATAAACATTTTTATAAAGGTCAAAACATGCAAGAAATTAATAATCAGAATTAGAAAATCTCCATGAACTAATTATTCAATTTTATTTACTTCAGACAACATAATCTCTATATTATAAATATATAATAAATTGTAAATAAAGCATCATCAAACAAAAAGCAATTCTTGCAATGCTTTTTGTAACATCAAATAAAGCAATTTCACATTACATGTTCTTTGAGTCTTCTGCTTTTATATAAATCTTAAACAATTTTTTTTCTCTAGCAACTTAAAGGTACAATTTTACATACTGCTATTCCAGCGGCTGAAATTTTGTAGTACAAGCGTCAAACACTCAAACACTGTTGACAGTGTTACCGCATTGTGTCAATCGGTTTGATCAGCGTTGACCGCGATATATGTAACTTAGGTTTGTTCGCGTCGCATGCTCTAACATGTTCCAATATGTTCCTATCATAACTCTTATTCACTCCAACGTGATAGAATAGGAGCTATGGTAGGAGCATGTTGGAACTTGCGAACAAACCTCTACTCTATTATTTTCCTTCATTGCTGATCCAGAAACAAGAATTCAGTACAGTTGGAATAACTTAATAATTGCTAATAATAATTCAGCGTGTTAATACTGCAAGTAAAAAACACGAACATGTTAAATCTGTCGCTCAAATGTCAAATTCAATGCTCTTTGTCCTTTTTCATATATAAATATGTTGCTCTAATAGTTCTGCGACAAAAGTCATTATTTGATCTTTTTTATCATTGAAACGGTCAGTTTAAGTGGTTAGTGAAAATGCACCTTAATTCTCATTTCATTCAGGTAGCATGGAACATTCCAGCAACATTGCTAGAATATTTCATGTTATCTGCATTCAGCAATGTTGCTGAAATATTCTATCGTATTTACTTAGATATTTTTATAGAAATCTTTGTATATATAAATTAAAAAGTTTTTAACATTAGTAAAAGAATATTTCTTTAAAGCTCTGTTTTATATATTGCCAGTACTGAAAATTTATAGTATACATAACATAAACCATAAAGTTTCAATACTGACAGTATATATCAGAATATGGCTTGATTAAACCATTAACAAATAATAAAAATAATTCTAAACAAATTGTTAAAAAATTCATATTAAGTGCAATAATAAATTAAAAAGAGAAAGCAAAAAATAAAGGAGAGAAGGGAAAGAAATCAAGATAACAAAGAGAAGATGAGAGAGAATCAGAAAAAGGGGGAAAAGGAATAAAAGAAATATTCCGAGACCACTAAATAAAAAGACAATTACTTTTAGAGCTTCCATGGATTTTAGAGGTTCCATGTCCAATAAAAAACAGCAAACAGAACTACGAAAATAATTGGAACAGTTTGTCATTAATGAATCGGCGTCTGTAGTAGAGAGTTACACGCATAAAAAAACCGCGAAAGGCTTGCGCCCATAACTTTCCTTACCTTCCTCCTCGTCATCGCTCTCCTCCACCGCCTTCAGTTTCCTCAGTTTTTTCTTCTCATTCTGGTCCAACTCCTCCTCACCCTACAATACAGCCGCACACGTTTAGCACCAAACGTCGTTGTAGCGCTTCGTCGTACAAGATTTTCGCGTAGGATCTCCCGTGGCAAGAAAATGGAAAGAAAAGACTTTACCTCGCTCACGTCCGCTTCAGAGTCGAGATATTCTGCCATGCTTCAGAGTAATGACGATCTGATCTCGTCAGAGATTTTGTATGCGTTGCTTCGTCTCGGACCCGTATCGCTCTTTAAAAGATCAGCAACACGACAAAATGACAAGATCCTTCAACATCTACCTTCTTCCATATTCTTTCGTAGAATGGCCGGAGTAATACCTAAAAGTAAAAGGTGAGATAGATGAACGATCTACCCATGATATAATGGCTCCTGCACACAGAACGCGGCAACGCTTACCGCGCGACGGAAGTTGCCACACTAACCAATAATTCTATGTTCTTAAGTCGGTCTCACCTTGCAAACTTCTAGAAATGATGTAATATTACTTCCGCCGCGCGGCAAAAGTTGAATTGAGTTCAACTTTTTGGCTTCTGCACACTGGACGCGGAAACGCTTAAAGTCGTAGAAAATTGATCAATCACAGTTGATTATTCTTCTCATATTCGACTGTGATTGGTCAATTTTCTACTATTTAAGACCCTACGACTGCTACGACTTCTATTGTAGACCCCGCATTAAGCTGGTTCTACATTAGTCGCATCGCAACGTCGCAAGCGTTGCAGTCCAATCAACGTCAAGCTAGCTCGACTCTGATTGGACCATAACGCTTGCGACGCTGCGATGCGATCAATGTAGAACCAGCTTTAGGAGCTGTAAGCTTATTGGCTACGCGTCACGTTTTGCCGCGCGGCAAACATTTCCGCGCCCAGTGTGCAGGAACCATAAAAATATAAAGCTGGTTCTACATTAGTCGTAACGCAATGTCGCAAGCGTGTCGCAAGCGTTATGGTCCAATCAGAGTCGAGCTAGCTTGACGTTGATTGGATCGCAACGCTTGCGACGCTGCGATTTCTAGAATGTGATACGAGCTTAAAATACACAATATGGAATGGAACTTGGAAGTTGTTTACAACAAATTCAGAAATTTTAGAATATAGAGTGTGTCAGAGAGAAGCAAAAAAAACAGAAAATATCGTTTTACCACGTTGGAAAGAAGCTTGAGAAAAAAAACGGAAAGAAATACAACTTCCTCTGACTTTGTTAAACGGATAGTTAACAAAGAATTTTATTCTTTATTCGTACAAACATAATTAATTATTTCTCCTTGTAAAAAAAATAAAGATACCGATATGTCTACTCTGTTGACAGAAAATAACTTCGAGTGTCGGTTAGTTTTATGTTTGCAATAAAATAAAGTAATAACAGAAATGGTTATGAAAGAGAAATTTGCTTGCTATATTCTGTCATCTAATACATTTAAATAAAATATGTAAAAAAAGAAATACTTTAATAACGATTCGATATTTTATTTAGGGTGAGTTCTGTGCTAAATAAGAACGCTCAATCGTATGGAAAAATGTATATGTTTGATAATTGCAGTGAAACATGTTGGAATTCTGATGCAGTAGGTAACCAAGTTTTATTATGGATCAGCTCTTCACATATTTAACTATATATTTTAATGTAACAAACATAATATATATAACAGGGAAGTCCACAGTGGGTTCTTATTAACTTTGAAGAAGAATGCAGTCTCTCCGGCTTTGAGGTGGAATTCCAAGGTGGATTTGCTGGAAAAAATTGTCATATAGAGGCTGGTAATGATAGAAAGGAGCTAACAGTTGTTGAATCTTTTTCTCCGGAAGATAAGAACAAGCTACAACGATTTAATTTGAAAAATCAGGTCAGAGCCAAAGTTTTTAAATTTGTATTTAATGAAAGCACCGATTTCTTTGGCAGGATCATCATATACAATTTATCATTGTACTCATGATATCCATTTTAATATCTTAATTATAATTTTGTACATTGCAAGAAGTATTTATATAAACACAATCTTTGTAAAACAATATTTATTTTAATAAAATTTATATTACAATTTATTATTGTTTGTCAATTATAATAGAGAAGCTTTCTGTAAATGTATATCTAATTCGTTCAATCATATAAAGATTTTTTGGGCTACACAAAGATGGTTTTGCACAACACATTTTTTTCTAATTAAAATAGTTTATTTTATATAAAATAGTTTATTCTATTTATATAATATAATTAAGTACAATATTAATATTATGAATCCTAGATGTTAAATGCTTGATAAAAATGATTATTTCAACGTTAAGAGAAACTTATTACGATTTTTTTTCATTGAGACTCGCTTTGGATTGGCTGAGCACTGGATGGTCGAACTGAGAAAAAAAACACATAAATATTTTTTGATACTATTTGCTTCCATCTGCTATTCTTATATTTTATTAATCTTACTTGAGCAGGATAGAGGTTGAAATTTTATATCATCGACAGCAAAGCCTCCGTTACTGGCGCTTCCCTCAAGAATAAGTCGATATGGAGTTCGCGCTTTAACTGCCACTTGTGCTGCCATCCATACCGGTCGTGGATTATTTAATCCTTTGGCTGTCAATGACCATAACTACAATAATGGAATTAAAGATTTAGAAAAAATGAACCAAAATAAACCACATCTCTTTTCCATAAAAAATGCTCGTTCCATGCATTTAATATTAAAATGGAAGTAAAGTAGAAATTAAAATTTATTTTATACCAGAGAGTTCAAAAGAATATGCAATAAGTGATATTTTAAATATTATAAACATTATATTCAGTTTTATATGTAACATTCGTACTAATTGCTCCTGTTCGCCTTCATTCTCTCCCTCAACCTCTTCGGTAGGCATTCTGATCACTCGTAGAGTGGTGGACTCCTCCACGCCAAAGGCGGCAAACCAAAAAGTGAAACATACAAACTCTTCATCGGGCGAGGCATTGATAATAGGCGATTGTAACTGAACGTTCGTTGATTCCTTGTTTGTTGTAAAGATGTCAAAGAATACAAAATTGTCAGGCGCACCAAAAGTTCTGTCCAATAATTGAGCCGGTCGATGGGCCTGAAACGCACGCTGCCACATCACAGCACGGTCATTATCTGAAATAGTTATGTTCTCCCATCCGCATAAATCCTTCTCGAAGCTACAATCTTCTGGGCGAACGACTGCACTTATTGGTTTCACTGTATGTAGATGAAAAACATAAATTTAATGTATAAAATTAAGTAAGAGAAAATAGTACTGTATACTTCAAAAGGAATAAATATTTATTTCAGAAGAAAAAAATGAGAGAAAAACGAAAAAAATATTTACCGCTGCAATTTCCGGTATAAAAGGAGATATCATCAATTCCTATGCTACCAGTAGCTCTGTTCGGACCCCAAATGCCCTCGAATATGATATTAAAGTTTGTGTTTTGATTGATGTTAGCTTGAGCGTAGTTCCATGTGGGACCTTGATTATTGTACAATTGCCATATAGGTTTAGCTCGTAAACTATCACCCTCTACTTGCATGTATAATCGCAATACTCCTATAAAATTAAAAACATTGCTCTCATTGCATCGATAAATTGCATTGATTTTGAAAAGAATCGGGCTAACAACAATCCATTTTATCAAATTGAATTTTTAGATTCTCTATTTTTTTTAAGGAGGTTGTAAGGCAAATGCAATATGTTAAGAATTACTTGAAAAAATTACAGATTATATCAAATTGCGTTTAAAAGTAATACAAAAAAATTAGAGACAGTTGACCATCTGGAAAAGTTATTTCCATAAAAAGTAATATTTTTTTAATTTGTACTCTAATAGAAATATATGAAACTGTATTACAAAATAATGATAAAAATCTTAATTTTTTTATATAAGTACTATATG